ATTTTCTATGCGCCACATCCTTTCTTTTTAGGACTCCTACGACAAGATTGTTACAATATTTGGTAATTTCCCACCAGCTGATGAAACTCTGTTCTTTTTCACTTTTAGTCTTTCTTCTCTGTATCATTCAGATTTTATCAATTCTATTGATCTAAACTGAATGAAGTTCACTGACTCAGCTCCATTCTGCTATTGAATTGCATCCAGTGAGTTTTTTTATTGGCTATAGTATTTCTCCACTCTTGAATTTCCTTTTGGTTCTTCTTTATATCTTTTATTTCTTTTCTGAGACTTTTAATCTCCTTATTCATTTTAAGAATGTTTGCTTTTACATGTTGGGGTATTTTTGTAATACTTGCTTTAAATTCTGTGTTATCTAAGCATTGGTCTCTGTTGACTATCTTTTCCCATACAAATTGAGATTTTCCCAATTCTTCATAGGTGCTGAGAAATTTTTAATTGCATCTTGATGACTATGTTACCAGACTCTAGATTTTTGCCGAAATCCTATGGAGTATTTTGTTTGTTTGTTTGTATTTTAATTAGAATCTACCAGGTTGAGTTCAGGTCACATGTTCCAACCAGTCTTCCATGGTTTGGGTTCTAATATAAGTCCTGTTTCCCAAGATTTCAGCTCTTTCCTGTGTACACTATCCAGTAGCCAGTCTGAAACCTGGGCAATGCTCTATTTTGTAGTTCAGTTCTCAGAATTTATGGTATGCTATTTGAGGTCAGGTCTATTCTTGTGTTTCTCAGGGGTGAGCCGAGAAGTTCATAAACAACTTTACGGGGTTGCTTTCCCTGGCTCTTCCTTCTCTCTGGTACTTTCCAGTCCCCAGGGGCTCAACTTTTTAGTCCCCTGGCCAAAAAGCTGGGGCTTTACTTAGCCTGCTCTTCTATGCATTTCCCACAACTGCATCTGTGTCCAGGGACACAGTAGTGGGAGGACATAAAAGGAAAAAAAAAATTGAGAGTTTGCCCTGCACTCTTGGGACCAAGCTCCTCTGATCAGAGGGAAGATTCTCCTCACTCAGTTTTAGGATCCTGTGCGCTCTCATGTCCCTGACACCACAGGATTGCTTGGGGTCTGGGCACAAGAGGATGGAGAAAAGAAAAACAAAACAAAGGAGGGAATTTCTCCACCATTTCTTAGTATTAGGGGACCTCCTTCCTGCTCCCTAGGGCAGGACCTGGGTGGGGCTCTCTTTATAGGCACTAGTGTCCATTCCTAGGTTCAGGGCTGTGCTGGATCTAGGCTGGGGGGTTCTGGAAGGGAAAAAATAGTAACTCACAACATGTTCAGGGATACTTCAGAGTCTGTCTTCTTCACCAGTCTGCCAACTACCATTTGCTTTTCAGACAGAGTGGAATGCGCTTACTTCATTTTGCCTTGAACCAGAACCCAGTGTGGTTTTTTTTTTTTCATGCACTTAAAAACATAATTTTAACATAGGATCCATAGGCTGCATCAACTTCCCAAGAGATGCATGGCACAGAAGGACTTTTAGTCAAAAGGGAGAGATAGACATAGCAATAGCTGCTTGCAAATCAACATTATACTTGCTCAGCAGGAGCAGCTGGGAGCTTTGGGAGCCCTTGAAGAGCACGTAGGCTAGTCTGGGATCAGAGAAGGCTTCCTAGTGAGCACAGGAGGAAGAGTGTTCTCAGCAGACAAAAAGTCATGCTCAAGAGCCAGAAAAGAACCAGAGTGTAGAAATGTGGGTCCTAACAAGTAGTTTAGAATGGCCAGGACATGAACTTCTCTTGGCTCTTGAGACCATGTGCAGAAGAGAATCATATTTGTTTCGTTAGACAGCATTGGTAAACTCTTAAATTCAATGAAATTCTAAGTCCATTGGAAGCTTCATCTTGTTGGTATCCATGATGGAATCCAATTCTGGATCTCCATCTCAGTTCTGTACGTAGACTCTGCTATCTAGGCATTTAACATTTGAATAAGGAATCCATTCATTTTGTATACCTGGCAACAAACTCGGTCATGGATACATATACCATTGGATAGCTATTTAAAATCGCTATTTCAGAGATCAAAAATTCAGTGAGGAGACTGAGAGCAAAATACAAAAATTAAGAATGCCAAAGAATAAAAATAGCCAAAGGAAAAAAATTTTAATTCCATTTTCCGTTATTATACACTAGAGGAACAACCGCAAATAACAGACACAATCAATATAAGATGCTTCTCTGCGCTTTTGGAACAACTCAAATTTGTCAGAGCTTGAGACAGAGCATGGAAGGAAACATGATTAAACAGAGAAAGCGTGCTAATAAGTAAAAAAGGAACTAAATTCCCAAGGCAGGTAGATCCAGCATGCAATAATACAGATTCAAATCTCCATAGACCGGAGACAAACACCGGCCTGTTGTGAGAAATTTAGTGGCTTTGCCACAAAGCCTATGGCCTGAATCTGACCTCAGGCATAGAGCTCATTTCATTACCATGCAATAGGAGGTTCTTTAGGGGGAGGAAAAAAGAAAGGATCATGTATTTACACCACTATAGAGTTGCTTACACAAAATGTGACTGGCTAAGCATAAAATAGACAATAAAGAGTTTGTTCATTTAATTTATCTTAAGAAAGCACTTACCATCTCACACATCACAACTTGCTCAAAGATCAAAATAGGGAAAGAGGACAAATTGCTTTCATTTAGGCACTCAACAAACCCTTAAAGAGCATCTACAGATCAAGCCTGCACTACGCTCCAAGGGTGTGTTAAGGACTGCATTGTGGCCCTCAAACTCGTATGTTGTACCCTTAACATCTAGTGCCTCAGAATGTGACTATATTTGGAGACAGGGCCTTGAAAGAGGCAATTCATATTAAATGAGGTGTTAGGGTGGGCCCGAATCCAATCTGATTGGTTCCTTAAAAGAAGAGGAAATTTGGATGCCCACAGAGACACCAGGAATACACACACACAGAGAAAAGACCACACGAGGACGCAGCAGGCAAATGGCCGTCTGCCAGCCAAGGAGAGGGGCCTCAAAAGAAGCCAGCCCTGCCAACACCTTGATCTTGGACTTCCAGCCTCCAGACCTGTGAGAAATAGATGTCTGTTGTTTAAGCCACCCATTCTGTGGTATTTTGTCATGGCAGCTTGAGCTGACTAACACAGGTGGACAGAGAATGGAGGTCACAGATGCAGGAGAAAGCTGACCAGGGACAAAAGGTAGCAATACTCAGAGCACATGGTGGAGGATGAGCGAGTCTGTGGGCCCATAAACAGAGCACAGAGGGAGAAAAGACATGTTTCCAGGAAATAACCAAGAGGATCAAAGGGTAAACTCGGCTTCAAAACTGTCAACACTGCTACTTCCTCTGGAAACTGGATTCATCCTGGGTTTGGTCAGTCTGAAAACAGCTCAGAATCTGAAGCTGCCCCCTTACTGAGGTAATCTCCCCATCAAGGGGCTTTGGATCCTCTTGCCTTCCAGGTGTAAACCATCCCCAAGCAATTAGGGCAAAAGTTTATATTCCATCCCTCAGCCTTGACCTTTCTTGTGATGGCACCAGTAAACAAGCTGATCTGAATGATCAATGACCTGACTGACCCTGGAACATAGAGCAAAAATTCAATGAAATGAAAACCATGAATAAAATATGAGAGCAAGGGAGTACATATTCAAGAACACTGCATAGTGGGAGAATATTAGCTGTTAAATATTGAGAGCTCCAGAAAAGGAGAGAAAAACAATACGGAGAAGCAAAGTTGAAAAGCAAATAGAAGAAAACACTCCTTGAACTCAATAAAGACCAATTTTTGAACCAGAAGATAAATAAACTCCAAGTGCTAAGCAAGATAAATAACAATTTGAATAGCAAAAAATAAAATAAAATTTGAAAAAAAGAGTCACACCTGGACAAAATCTGGTGAATTCCCAAATTCCAGCTACTAGAGAACAAAGAGCAATTATTTACCTAAGGAAGGGAATTTGAATGGCACCAGAGTTCTTACTGGAAACAGCTGGAACCCTGAAGCAATGGAGCCAGGTTAAGGCTTTTGAGAGATAAGACTCTGATCCAAGATCCCTCTGCTTGGCCAATATCTTGCATCTGGAAGGCCAGAGGAAGACACTCTGGGACTTTGCAAGGACTTAAATAAATATACTACCCACATCCCATTTTTGAGAAGAGACTAGGAGTACTCTGGATTAAGAAAAATCAAATTATTTTAAAGTGATAACACAGGTGAACTTCCAGTTACCAACAAGGATGGGGGAAAGATGGGCAGAAAGAATTCTTTTAAAAACTGACTAATCCAGGAAGAATAAAGAAAGTAAAAAAAAACAGGACACAGAAGAAATTTAATAAATAGTGAAAAAAGAGATAAGGTGAAAAAATAAGACCAAGGATATTGAGACATCTCAATAAATGTGACTAGATTAAATTCCTCCACTGAATGAAAAATATTCTGAAATAGAATTTTAAAGCACTATTTGTTATATGCTATTTATGAGAAGGAGCCAAACAAAATTACAAAGAAAGCTTGAAAAGAGATGGGAAAACATACAAGGCAAGAGAAAACAAAAAACAGAGGCAACATGAAGATGAGATGAAGTGGAATTTATGACCAATAGCTTTAAATAGGACAAAGGGGGTATTTTATAATAATAGGTACAACTCCAAATAGAAAAAGAGTCATGAACCATTATCTATTCCTTATGACACTGTTTCTAAATATATAGGGCAGAACTTCTCCAAAGTGAAAGAAACAGATGAATCCACAGTCAGTGTAGGATACTTCAGCAACTCTCTTTGAAATTACCAGGTCAAGAAAAGATCTGGGGAAACCGAGTAACCAATAAGCCACAAGTCATACATCTGTGTAGAACTTCAGGCTAAATTTAGAAAGCAAATTCTCTTCAAACACTTGGAAATGGTTTTACAAAAATTGACTGACTAATGTCTTAGCTCAGGCTGCTTTAACAGAACACATAGACTAGGAAATCTAAACAACAAATGTTTCTTTCTCACAGTTCCAGGGGCTGAAGTCCAAGGTCAGAGGGCCAGATAGTCAAGCTCTTGGTGAGAGCTCTCTTCTTGGCTTATGGAAGGCTTTCTTCTCGTTGTATCTTCACCGGGTGCGGGAAGAGGGAGGTGGGGGAGAGAGAGAGAGTTCTTTTATTTCTTCTCATAAGAACACTAATCCCATTCATGAAGGCTCTTTCCGCATGACCTAATCACCTCCCCAAGGCCCCGCCTCCTAATACCATCACACTGGGGAGTAGGGCTTCAGCATGTGAACTGTTGGTGGGGAGTGGCACACAGACATCCAGCCCATCACAATTAGGCCCCAAAGGAAAAGGTAAAAATAAATAGACAGTCTAGTCGATGTGGAAGACTGACATGATGAGAAAGGCCATCCTACCCCAAATGGATGGAAATCCAAAAACAGAATTTTGTTACAGAGCCGATCTCAAAACCAAACAGAGAGAAACCAGAGAAAAGGGGGTGACATAAAGCAGTGAACCGTAGCTAAAGTATTAAAAACAATCTAAAGCCTTACAGAGTCAAAAATAGGTCGGGACATCTGGGCAGGGATTGGGGGTCTGGACTGGACAAGGAGCCCAGGCTGCTGGGCCAGGAGAGGCTGGGAGCTAGAAGGAGCCACTGGCATGAAGCCAGGAATTACCAAGGGTGACTTGTCTCCAGAAACCAAACTAGAAAAGCTCTCTAGCCATGGATCCAAGAAGCTTGCTTCAGACCCAGACGGAGCCACAGATAGAAAAAGAATTACCCAGGAGTAATTGGAATGAGTGAATGAATTAATATATTACAAAGTTTCCTCCTGTCCATGAATTCAGAACTGCCCCCACAGTCCTTCTCAGGACACAGGAGCAAAACTACTTGCTGGTGCCTGAATCTGTTCCCTAATTACCACCCGGAACTGTACCAATCACAATTACAGAAAATTGCACGTATCTGTGGGCCCTGCCTCTTCCAAAATATTTGTCTGAAAACATGAAACCACACTGTAACTGGTTCTTTCCACCATTAACCCCACCCTGCTCTGCCAGCCTGAGGCCAAGTGTATCCCACAGAAGATGACACACTTCTGACGATGCCACCATCGGTGCCTGTTACATGGTGGGCATTGCACACATCAGATGCAGTAAGGACCAGGCTTTGGAGACAGGCGAGCTGAGGGCTACAGAAAGTATTCTTTGAACCTTGATTTCCTCATCTGAAAATGGAAATGATAATAGCTATTTTTGAAGGTTATTAGGAAAATCAAATGAGATATGTAAGAAAGGTAACTATAAGAAACAAATTATTATTATCATTATATGTTTAGTGTCCTTGATTTGAAGTAAAAAAATTGCCCCAATGATTTATTTTTATTCTTGGCTTACAGATTTTATTAAAATTCTTTTTTTACTGCCAAATAATAGTCCACTGTATGGATATAGCACATGGTATTTATTCATTCATCAGTTGAAGGATGCTTGGGCAGTTTCTCTTTCGGCTATTGTGAATAATGCTTCTGTGAACACTTATGTACAAGTTTTTGTGCGGACATAAGTTTTTCAGTTCTCCTGGGTAGATGCCTATGAATAGGACTGCTGAGTTGTGGTAACTCTCTGTCCAGCTTTCTGAGGATCTGCCAGACTCTTTCCAAAGCTGCTGCACCGCTTTCCACTCCCACCAGCAGTGCGTGGGGGTTCTGATTTCTCCACGTCTGTAGGATGCTTTTTAAGGTAACCGAGGAACAGGTAAACTACGGGAAACTGGGACTTCGGCATCCCCACCTCCTTCCTGGAGAGCATCTGATTCCCTTTAATTTGTACCAGGGAAACAATAAAGTCGGATCAAAGTCTTTCTCCTAAATTGTGGGGATTTCAGGCAAGGCAAGCCTCTTTCCCTGTGATTCCATTTTCTCTCCTAGAAATGCAGACAGAGGCAGAAGCATCTCCTTAAAGTACCTATTTAGTTCAACATGGTAGAAAACATGGTAAGAACATAGTAGAAAATAGTAAGAAATGTGGATCCAATCCTAATATTTAGAACACGTAATAAAGCTTCAGGTGACGTACGACCAGCTCTTTGGCAAACCTGCTTGAGCAGTGAAGGAACCTCCTTGGTTCCAAGGAGAGATGTCTTTTCTTGTCCTCTTTCCAGGCCTAAGAAAGCAAAGGCCAGCGTGATGGAGAAGTAACCTGGAGAGCCAAGGTGGCTGTAACCAAGAGCGGCAGCAAAATATGTAGTGAAGTTATGCCTTCAGCTGGTTTGCATAGTAAGAAGAGCCAAATAAACAGCATGCTCAAACTTCCCTTCGAAGCTCAAACTTCACGCCCCACAGTCTACTGAATCCTTGGAGAGTATCATCAACCAGGGAGGAAGTGGACTTGGGGTGTGATGCCTGGGGCTGGCCAGAATTTGAATCTTATGACCACCTGTGTTGAATTGAAAGGGTTCCTTCAGAGACTTCTTTTGAGTGTAAAACATAATTTTGTTGGTCACAGGCGAAAAGCCATCGTGGTACAGAATAACTAATAGGATGCTACACTTTTTTTCCACAATCAATGGCAAGAGGGAAAAAAAAAACACAGTGGCGTATTCTTTCCCCATCCAATTCAAAACACAAGGTGGTAGAGTAATAAAATTAAATAGGCCGTAATGAAAAAAAAATAATTCCACCATAAATAAGCTTTGTTATTCCATCCAAGAGAAAAAAAAACAGGGAGCTGGGTCGTGTGTGCCTCTTCCCTTTCAAAACCAAACTGTAATCAAAAGTAAACAGGTTGGAAAACTCAACAGAGATAAAGCTGGAATTCGCAGCTGTGAAGAGAGGCGCCCATGGAGTGCAATGGCCGCCGCGCAACGCGGGCACGGAAGGGTGGCCTTTTGCTCTATGAGGGAGGTGCCTGTGAGGCTCGGGCCCCTCGCGTGGGGGCGCCGGGCACTCCACGGGTGGGACCCCGGACAGGGACGCATTAGCCGCCCCGGGGGGCGGGGAGCGCAGTCCCGCAGCGCCCGGCCTGCCGTCCCGGGTGAACGCCAGCCCCGCGGTCCGAGGCCGCCAGGGCCGTGTGCCGCCTCCTAAGGCGTGAGAGGCGGGTCGCCGCCGCCTCCGCTTCCCGTCCCCGGACCCTCCCTTGCGAGCTGGAGGAGGCTGTTTTCTGAGAAACGCGCGGAATGAGACGTCGGCAGCATCCCAGGTGGCGTCCGAGGTTTCCCCGTGTCTCTGTGCCTTGGGGTAGGGCAGGCAGCGACCTCACTCAGACTCTGCCTGTTTGTCTCCCACGTGGCAAACCGTCCTTAGGATGGTGGAGCCTCGCGTGGCTGACTTCCTCCATCGGTGCCTGTCACCAGGAACTGTCGGGCACAGCCCGAAAAGTTCCCTCCCCTAGTCTCCAGTCCCCTGCTAGAGCCTTGATCTCCCCACAGCTGCGTGGCATCCCTGCCCTCACCCCGTCCCGTTCTGTTTAAAGGAGCCTTTCTTTGTCACCCTCGGCCCTTCCGCGTCCCTCCACCTTCTGGCCGCGCCTGAGACCTGGCTCCCGTCCTCGCACCGCACTCCCTCCAGCGTCACAGGGCCAGCATTCCTGTTGCCACCTCCAGGGTCTGTCACCACCAGGGAGGAGTTATCCCCACGGGTGGCTTCTCGGGCTCAGGGCCGCTCTCTGCCTCGGTCCTCTACTCCAGGGAGCCCAGCCCCTGCCTCGCTCACCTCCCAAATCACATCAGGACCTTGACGTCCCCTGAACCCCTCTGCCTCTGAAATCTGACTCCCCAGTTGGACGTTTGCATCCGTCAGGGTTCCCATTTCAAAGTCTTAACTATTCCATCACTCAGAACTCCCTCCTTTCCATCCTGGAGGCACCGGCTTCACCCAGACCCAGGCCTGCAGACTCGCTCTCAGCTAACTGTTAAGGTTGGAAAAAATTCAGTTACTCACCAAGGATTGGCCAGTCATGGATTACACAAGAGCAGACGCATCCTTCTCCTTCCAAGAAGGACCGTACGAACATCTATACAGACAGCAATCAGTGTCATTCTCCTGATGGCGTCTCTGCTCCTTCCTCTCTCAAAGTATTCATTTTCAAAAAGTTAAGCCCATGACTCCCATACAGACATAAAATGAACATGTGACATGAGTCCAAGATTTATGTGACTCATGAAAATGAGCAAACCAGTAGGATAGGAAAGATGGTTCAAAGAGCATTTGCAGAATTTACTGGATTTAGAAACCAAACAGAATGTTAGAATGACTGCGGGATCATATGGTAGATACAAAACTGGTTAATGCCCTTCATGGGAATAAAAACAGCCTTTGTCGTTCTCTTTTCTTTAAGGGACAGAAATTGACGCATGAACATGGAACTTTAGTGTGTCTGGGCTTATCAACCAGCGAATGGTTAAGTCAAACACAGGTAGATTGTCCTCAAGAATTAAGTGATCCTGGGGTGAGCCTGTCAAACAATGGCTCCATGTGACATTCAGAGGACATGCCCTTTTGCCTTGTTTCTATGTTTTGGGTACTTTTCCTGAAAATTCCTAAAAGAGAGAAACTCTAAACTAGTTATCTCAAAATCTCCACACTCATTCCTACTTGACCTTAAGAGAAGAAAGAAGCCTGTAAGTGCATCACTCGTGCTCCATCGGGCTCTTGGTGACCAAGCCCGTGATTGGCACCTGGGAGAACTTCAGACAGCATGACTCGGCGGGAGGAATGGTAACTTGGCAGCCCTCTCATTACACAGATGGCCACCGGCTCTCCCCAGACCAACCCTGGCTAAGAACACAGGCACTTCGCGTTCCAGGATAGGTTGTTCAGGAATAGATTCTGTGAGCTTATACCTTCATCGAGACATCATAGGGTTGGAACTTCAAGGAAACTTCTGGAACGTCTCCCTGGACCTTCCAGGACAGATGGTGTTTCCTATATTTAGTTCTCCTCGTCCTGAGCAAGCCCATTGTCTGCCCAGGCTGGCTCTCAACAGCCTCCCTGGCAAGGATCTCTGCTTCACGCTCTCTCTTAATCAATTTGAGGCCATTTTTTCTTCTGTCCTCTGTGAAAATGGCTTACAATTGATCAGTGTCTTCATCTGAAACCTCTTGACTTACTTCAGGCAATTTTTAAGCCATAATTTTTTTTAGGCTAAATAATCCAAACTGCTATTATCTTCTTAATTCTGTCATTAGTTGTGCTTCGCTGAGCCCTCTTGGGTCTCTCCTAAGGCCAGGAAGAGCAGAATAAAGCCCCCAGGGATGATGACTTCACACACCAGGTCCACCATGCCCCGCGCCACGTGAGCTCTCTCTGAATCACGCATCTGCCAAGTAGGAAGGTTGCTGTGATGACCCTTTAGGTTGTTTCTCATGCTGTTTTTCTTGCTCAGTCTTCCTTCATTGTTACTGGAAATATTTCTACTATGTTCGTCAGTACATAGCCCTTTATTGATTTATTTTTTTCATACCCATCATCACAATTCTTAGAGTCAACTACAACTGGTACGTTGGCACTCAGCATTCCGGTCTTTTTCTCCTGATTTTTTTTTTAAAGACTCGCTCAGACTGTACTGTACCGCCGTTAAGCTACTGCTTTCATCCAGTAACAGCCGGGGGCCCCCACTCTCCCCCCGCTCAGGGCTGTCTCACTCTTTCCCAGCATCAGACCATCACCATCACGACAACCCAAGCAGCTCCTAGTCTGAGAATCAGTCCTAGCAACACTTCAGACTGGCTTAGGAAGCAAACTAAAATGAATCTACCAACACCGATTTATTCAGCTTGAAGAGAAACCAGCCCGGTGAGTGGGAAACACCAGCAAGCCCTCAAGAGGCGTTCCCAGGAAGACTTGTGGTCACACCACAGCCTCTCCTCTGTCTCATCTTCTGAGTCCACCCAGGTTTACACCAGGGACCTTCTCCGGGACACTCTGGGCCCCCACGGGGGGTTTGCCAGGCCGCCACGTAAGGGCCTTAACGTGAGCTCCAGCAGATCGCCAGCGGAAGGGCTGGCCGTCACCCTAGACTCGCCGGCTTGACGCACACCCAGCCCTCCCTCGTGGGTGACCCTCATGCTAGTTGGTTTTCTTCCAAGTTGGTGCCAACCTGATGATGTTTCTGTGTTCAAAATTATGCCAAGAGACACTGATTTTTCTGTTCTATCTGTGAGCTCTCATTGATAGACTGACTCATCTCTGTATTTTTTGCTATCCTTGTAAAGCTGGTTCTCTTTTTGGGTGCAAACCTGTTTTATTTTCCTGTTAAGTCTCTGTATCTAAGACACATTAGGCA